TAACTGGTGCCTACTATGCTGATTTGCTTCATCGCCTGAGAGATTCTATCAAAGAAAAGCGGCGATGAATGCTGACTGCTAGAGTTCTACATTTTCATGACAATGCCCCTCTCGACTTGCAAAGTTGGGCTAGGTTGGTTTGTTATTATTCCAGCTATATGACGGCGGTCTGTAAAATAATCGAGTCTGGACCAGACAATCCAGTGATTGGCATCATGACCATCGATCCACGCAAATGGGATCGATGACATGTATCAACCAAGACAGCTCGCCTGACCGCCCGATCCCGTTAGTCGCCTTTTACGACAAGCATAGTCGCCTTTTACGGCAAGTATGGGTTGCTGAAGTCCTATTCTGCCCCGGAATCTTCACGGGTCGACTTGCAAAGGCTGCTGTGCCACAATTTGGGTTCGAAGAGCTTCCTCACAATCCATATTCGTCAGACCTGGCACCAAGTGATTTCCTCCTGTTTCCTAAACTGTAAGAACATCTTAAGCACACACGCACATACAAATTGCAGCGCCGTCTGGCGTTCTTTAATGTCCACGCAGTCCTTTAGGTTTAGCAGTTTGGTGTTTTTCTTGTGCACTGACGATCTTCAGTCCACATTGTTCTATCTTTACATATGACGTCTTTTGTTTGCGAGTTATTCATTGCTTGTGTTTTGTATTTTGAATTCATTATCTGTGTGTATATAAATAAATTTTAATTGTAACATTCATTCCTTGTTCGTAACATCTGAATATTATTGTGTACTTTTGACTTTTATTTCAACTTTGTATTTTTGGACCGAATGGCTGCCCATGAAATTAAGTAGTGAAAGGAAATACACAAAAAGGAGAAGAGACAGTATTTGTTCTTAGAATAGTTTCAATCAGACATCTTATGGTTTGGAGAAAGAATTAAAAATCCAGATAAGAGTTCAAACTGTTACATCAGCCTACAGGACCATCTGTACTTCACGTAATTAGTGGTTATTTTCTGATATTATGATAGCATTGTGCCAATACAACCCCACATGATTGGGCATTATGCCACTATTTAAAAAAAAACCCACATTAGGCCAAATTCTTTTTGTGAACAAATTGATGGCCATTTGGATTTCAAAATAGAAATTGTAACGCCAAATGCTTTCTTCTAAAGAAGCGACAAAAGTTATATTCAAATAATATATTAATCGAGATAATTAAAGTATGAAGTCCATGAAAGCAAAATTGATTTTTACGAGGACAAAACCAGTCTGTGCCCAATACCTATTCCTTGACTACTATATAGATCAGCCGTCGACGTCAGATACCCGTGTAGTCAGTATTCACTGTCACATGTTATTGTATTTGGCCTATACACTAAGATAGAGATGTGTAAAGGTAATATGTCCCACATGGGTTAATGTACGTGTGTCCCACCTTTAAGTCAACAGTAATAACCAGCCAAATTGCCAACGTCATGGCATAACTATTTGCACTATCGACTTTTATCATCTGCAAACATCTTCAGAGACTTTGGTATAAGGAACTAGGTAAACAATATTATATTGACATTATCAACAATAAATATCTGGAGTTCTACTTTTTTTATGAAAACCCGTGCTGGTTTTTTTTCGTTATTTAAAAGTAACAGTTGTTGGGAGAGAGGCTGTAGACTATACTCTGCAAAAGAAAGAAACGGAAAAGTGATTTCAGATGTATATTATATTTATGATGTAAATAATCAACAGATGTTAATCGATTGTCTTTGACCAGCTGCATATGGCACATGTTCTCAATATTTTGTATGGCCATTATTTGGAGTCCGAAGCAGAATAGCATCGTCGTCCCATGGAAGTAATCAGATCCCGAACTGTGGCCTGGGGAGTGTTCGCCCACTCTGCCTGCACAAGTTCTCGAGCCAACTGTAGGAGGTTCTGTGGTTGATGCTGACGTTCTCGCAGTCGCTAATCCAGTGCATCCCATAAATGTTCGATTGACCTTGAAGGCCATGACTGGACCTGGATGTTGTGATTCCTGAAAAAGGCTGTTGTCAGTCCTGCCGTGTAAGGTCGGGCGTTGTCTTGTTGGAAAATGACGTTCGCTTGTTGCATACTGGGAAGGACGTGTGGCCGAAGAATCTCATCCGTGTAACGTTGTGCCGTTAAATTCCCCAGAACTTGCAACCAAGACTGTTCTACCAGTGCAGGAGATAGCCGCCCACATCATCACACTACCACCACTAAATCTGTCCACTTCCTGTAAGCAGTTTCGCGCATAACGTTCCCCGAGACGGATGTAAACGCGACTTGTACCATCCGCACAGCGAAGCATAAACCGTAACTCAACACTATCCAAACTTGTCTCCATCGCAGTTGTGTCACCCCAACAACATTGACGTCGCAGGCGACGATGCAGGTCCGCCAAAATGGCACATGAAACTGGTCGTTTAGCGCGAATACCCTCACCGCGTAAACGGTTCATCACTGTCTGGGCTGGTAATGCCGAAGTTGTAGAGTGAGTGAGTGAGTGAGTTGGGTTTAACGCCGCTTTTAACATTATTCCAGTTATATCACGGCGTGTCAGCTTAATGTGGGAGGAAAGCCCGAAGTGATGCAGGTCTCAGACGTTTACCACTTCGGTGAAACCCACGAGCACGGGTATGGTGCTGACAAACCTAGAAACATAATTGGGGCGAACCCGGGATTCGAACCCACAATCATAGGTTTCTGGCGTGCCCAAGGGACGCAACTCTGCACAGCGAATCGCGGTGCCTTAGACGACTGGGCCACCCGTGCCCCCCGAAGTTGTAGAGGTGGCTGAGGTAGTTCTTTCACGTAAGTGACGAAGCCGTATGAATCTGTCCTGTGCTGAAGTAGTGATACGTGGTCGACCGGACCTGGGAAGTTCCTGTGTTGTGCCGTGTGTCTTAACACTTGTAATGGTGATTAGTGCTACGTGAAAAAATCTATAGATGATTCTCAAATTTGCAGTCGGCCGATGGCGTTGTCATTCGTGGCATGTCTTCGCTGTTCACTTGCTGCAAGGTTGTTATGGCATGCAAATGAAGACCCCACGTGGATACTGGACTTTCAAAGTCAGTTAACTTTCTTGCCTCGGGAAGATGATGAAGACCTCGCAGCGACGCAAGACCATCGGCGCCACAGAAATTATTAGACAGATAGCTTTTCCCTTTGCTTATAAAAACATAACGGTTATAGTCAAGGGTTTTAACACTAACCTTCAAACCAAGGGGACATTGGCCATATGCACTCTACATCTGGTAATTATATCCTGCTCAATGAAACCAATTTACCAGATTATAAGGAGCTGTTCCAAGAGTGAGTGAGTTTTAACAGTATTCCAGTTATATCACGACGTGTCAGCTTAATGTGGGAGGAAAGCCCCAAGTGATGCAGGTCTCAGACGTTTACAACTTCGGTACGGGTATGGTGCTGACAAACCTAAAATCATAATCGGGGCGAACCGGGATTCGAGCCCACAATCATAGGTTTCTGGCGTGTTCAAGGGACGCAACTCTGCACAACGAATCAGGGCGCCTTAGACGACTGGGCCAACCGTGGCCCCGGCAGTCTTCTAGGAGACTCGCAAAGAGTTGCCTTGTGAATAGGCGCATATAGGGCTTCCATAAGAGCAGACTGAACGATAGACAAATTCCAGTTGGGGAAAGTGCGGTTGTATCTTCCACCTGAAATGATTTCGTAAATCGATTTAGAACTACGTGGGTGCTCTTGGAGAGCTCATATATCCTGGAGGGCTAATACTAAGGCTGATCGGAAACCCCGTGTTACGGGCAATCAACATACAAAATGATCATGACAATATACCCACAAGGTACCACGCTTATAAACAGATCATCTCACTCAGTTACTCAGATTCCCCAATGAAATTATTCCTCCCGATCATCCTCGATTATTTTTATTTGTATATGTGACAGTAGGCGCTGTGTAAACAGCAATGAAGCGATGGACGTGAAGAGGTATAAAACAACTCTTTCAATATCCGTGCTTCTTTTGTCCCTTGGTCATAAAAACTTCCTGAGGCTAAGTGTCATGAAGCGGGTCTCCCGGTACAGATTCTTATTAAACCTCCAGTGACGTCATTCTCCAGTCGGGTTAAATCTCATAAACAGGTATTTATTACGGTGGCCCATACCCGCCACTGGTGAGATCATTTTTCACTGTATGCCTCAGTCTATATTTTGTCTGGCGGCCGCCAGATACTTCCACTGGTGAGATCATTTCCCCCTGTAAACCTCTATATTTTATCTCACCAGTGGAAGTATCTGGCGGCCGACAGATAAAATATAGAGGCATACAGTGAAAAATGATCTCACCAGTGGCGGGTATGGGCCACCGTAATTTATAACTACAACTTTGTAACATATAAACATCAAATGACAAAAGTTTTCTTTTATTCCCGAGGATCGAACACGCAACATTCGTATCTGTAGCTCAGTGACTATACCACAGTGAAATTCACAATGCTTTTAAGAATGTCTTTTTCAAGTACCGTGCAACGGCAACAGATATTTTACACCTGTTTTCTATAGTTAACGTCGATGCTCCTGCTTCCAATCACTTAACGACGTTGTTTGTTTGACGCCGCACATCATGAGCATCGATCTATGCAATTGGGATACAACGACATGTATCAACCAAGTCAGTGAGCCCACCCGATCCAGATACTCGGTTCTTATGACAAACAGTCACCTTTAATGAAAAGGATGGTTGCTGAAGACCTATTCTAATTTATCCCCTCAATGCCAAGCGCCAACAAGTACCATCTTTTAACGTGTTTGGCTTTGAAAACTGAGGATTTATGATTTATTTTACACCAAACCAAAAAGGTCATACCTATGTCCAACTAAATCAAGCTCAAGTCATGTTGTACAAGTATCAAAACTAGTTTTGAAAGATCATGTGGCAAAAATGATTACTTGTTTCGTTTCAGCATGAATAATTCAGGATTTTGGTGTACATTGTGAATGCACTTGGTGTGATTCTACTAAACATGGCGTGGCTGTATGTATGTACAAGTCCAGCCCGCAAAGGCAATAGGCGAGACCTAGCAACTGCACCCAACTACCTGGATCATTGCTCAAGTCGCGGCAAGGACTCATGGCTTATCCTTATCAAGGTGAAGGGAACAGTGCTCTCTTTATTACTCTGATTGTGAACCAGAGAACAGAGTCACCCTAGCTTTCCCTGATCAAGGAACAGAGGTACTCTTGCTTACCCTGATTGTGGTCCAGACAACAGAGGCATCCTTGCTAACCCTGATTGTAGGACAGAGAATAGAGGCTATCTTGCTTACCCTGACTGTGAGCAAAGAGAATGGAGCCATCCTTGCTTACCCTGACCGTGGGACAGAGAATGGAGCCATCCTTGCTTACCCTGATTGTAGGACAGAGAACAGAGGCACATTTGCTTACCCTGACTGTGGGACAGAGAATAGAGGCTATCTTGCTTACCCTGACTGTGGGCCAGAGAATAGAGGCACATTTGCTTACCCTGACTGTGGGACAGAGAATGGAGCCATCCTTACTTACCCTGACTGTGGGACAGAGAATGGAGCCATCCTTGCATACCCTGATTGTGGGCCAGAGAATAGAGGCACATTTGCTTACCCAGACTGTGGGACAGAGAATGGAGCCATCCTTGCTTACCCCGACTGTGGGACAGAGAATGGAGCCATCCTTGCTTACCCTGACTGTGGGACAGAGAATGGAGCCATCCTTGCTTACCCCGACTGTGGGACAGAGAATGGAGCCATCCTTGCTTACCCCGACTGTGGGACAGAGAATGGAGCCATCCTTGCTTACCCCGACTGTGGGACAGAGAATGGAGCCATCCTTGCTTACCCTGATTGTGGGACAGAGAATGGAGCCATCCTTACTTACCCTGACTGTGGGACAGAGAATGGAGGCATCCTTGCATACCCTGATTGTGGGACAGAAAATGGAGGCATCCTTGCTTACCCTGACTGTGGGACAGAGAATAGAGGCACATTTGCTTACCCTGATTGTGGGACAGAGAATGGTGGCACCCTTGCTTACCCTGACTGTGGGACAGAGAATAGAGGCACATTTGCTTACCCTGACTGTGGGACAGAGAATGGAGGCATCCTTGCTCACCCTGACTGTGGGACAGAGAATGGAGGCATCCTTGCTTACCCTGATTGTTGGACAGAGAATGGAGGCATCCTTGCTTACCCTGATTGTGGGACAGAGAATGGTGGCATCCTTGCTTACCCTGACTGTTGGACAGAGAATGGAGCCATCCTTGCTTACCCTGATTGTTGGACAGAGAATGGAGGCATCCTTGCTTACCCTGATTGTGGGACAGAGAATGGAGGCATCCTTGCTTACCCTGACTGTTGGACAGAGAATGGAGCCATCCTTGCTTACCCTGATTGTTGGACAGAGAATGGAGGCATCCTTGCTTACCCTGACTGTGGGACAGAGAATGGTGGCATCCTTGCTTACCCTGACTGTGGGACAGAGAATGGAGGCATCCTTGCTTACCCTGATTGTGGGACAGAGAATGGAGCCATCCTTGCTTACCCTGACCGTGGGACAGAGAATGGGGCCATCCTTGCTTACCCTGACCGTGGGACAGAGAATGGAGCCATCCTTGCTTATCCTGATTGTGGTCAAGACAATAGAGGCTCTCTTGCTTACCCTGATTGTGGGACAGAGAATAGAGGTATCACTTCTTACCCTGATTGCGGCCCATACAATAGAAACAGAGGCACACATGCACTGCATACTCTATTCTTATCTTCAGTCTTCAAGTTAATAAAATATAAAAAACAAACCAGGTGATTAAAATTATAAATATTTTAATTAAAAACAGGATTTCTATAATTCATCTTTATTTAACGTTGGGGCATTATTAAGATACTTGACAAATTCATCTTTTGTCCTATCACCATTATAAGCACTAAGGAATTTGCCTCCCACGTAAAGCTTGATTGTAGGGTAACCGCTCACACCTTCCTTTTTACACACCTCTGAAAACCAAAAATATGAAACATTATTCAAGGATCACAAAGAAAATAGGCCTTCTACAGGTAAACCACAGCTTATCAAACACACATATGAACGAAAGTACATATTACTTTCTTTATTTCTTTTTTAACGTTAACAGCAACCTTTCTTTGCTGAAGACCTATTCTACCCTGGATCTTCATGGGTCTCATATTTTTTCAATGCCATTCTGAACAATAGTCCAGCCACATCAAGGCTGCCTGCAAATAATCGAACCTGGACCAAGCAAATCTGTGAGTAAGTGAGTGAGTATGGTTTTACGCCGTTTTTAGCAATATTCCAGCAATATCACGGCGGGGAACACCAGAAATGGGCTTCACACATTGTACCCATGTCGGGAATCGAACCCGGGTCTTCGGCGTGACGAGCGAACGCTTTAACCACTAGGCTACCTGACCACCCCAAGCAAATCTGTGGAAAAAGTTGCTAATTTCTTAATTTCCATTAGAGTTGTCACCAGTCTTCCAACAAGATGGTATGCATGATTTTTAAAAAATGCAATATACCAGTATTTTCCAAACGTATTGTGGTACGTATTCATTGGTATTTTATATCGTGGGATACCAGTATAGCGGTAACATCTCGCATGTTTAATGACATTCCGTTTTCTCATACCTGTATTTTTGGTGCAATCGACAGCCGCAAAAGCCTTCTTCTTATCCCCCTTGATGAAGTCAGCAGCACTCTGGAAGTCTGGTTTGGCCCGCTTGCAGTGACCACACCACGGTGTGTAAAACATGACCAGGACGGCATCCCGCTGCCCTATGAAGTCGGCGAAGGTATCTGAGGTCAGATGGTTGACAGAAGACGCCACGGTGCTCCACTCCGGCTCTGGAGGTGGGGGAGGTGGTGGAGCCTTGGGGCTGGAGATGGAGGAAAAGAGTAGGATGCACATACTTCAATGTCATCACGTTTCTATAGATAAGGTGAGTTTTCTTTAACAAGGCTTTCAAGAGTGTTGAAGTTAAAACACGGTGTGTCAGCTTGACTGAAAACTGTGTGTGTGGGGTGGGGTGGTGGGTTTGGGAGGGTGTTCGATGTGTGTGTGTGTGTGTGTGCGTGTGCGCGTGGGTGCGTGCGTGCGTGTGGGTGGGTTTGAGGGGATGGGTTTGGGATTGGGGGGTGTTCGATGTGTGTGTCTTTGTGTTTCTCATTCAGAGGTCGACAGGTTAAGACTCAAGATGACTGTCCGCAATCAGGGTTCAGACCTTGAGTAGACAAACCTGAGCATCAATTATTAATCAACAGGACTATCATACAACCTCACATTGGTTAAGGTGAGTGAGATGGGTTAAACAGTATTTCATATCACAGCTTTTTGAGTCGAAAAGCCCAAAGCGACACAGGTTCATGACAATACAAGTCAACCTGGGAACAAGGGCATGGTTTCAGAAACCTATGTTCATATTCAGTTCAAATCTTGTATTGATAAAAACGTGAGTTCCTGGACTGGCTTTGAGAGCTGTAATTCTGAACCACTGGATCACCTCAGATCACCTGGACACTTATCCCCAACAGTAAAAACTTAGCTCTTGTCAGGTGACCATCTATAGAAGCTATAGCCACCATCTTATTCACCCCATTGATCAACCTCTTATACTTGTGTATATCAGCATAATACTCCATCTGAAGCATTATGAAGAAGAAGAGGTGAATATTACTTACTTTTTCATAAATTCTACAATAGCATCTTCAGTTCGACCCCCTGTGTAGTCAAACTTCTCTTGGCCATTTCTGAAAGAGAAAAATATCCACATAAAATGTGTCAACTTCATCTTAGCTCAATGTCAAAGCTATGTCATTTTTGTTTGTTTGTTTGTGTGTTAAACGCAGCACTCAGCAATATTCCAGCCAGATGACAGCAGTCTGTAAATAATTGAGTCTGGACCAGACAATATTGTGAGCATTGATCCATGCAATTGGGATCCGATAATATGCATCAACCAAGTCAGCGAGCCTGACCACCTGATCCTGTCAGTCACCTCTTGCGACAAGCATACATGCCTTTTATGGCAAGCATGGGTTGCTGAAGACCTATTCGAACCCGGATCTTCACAGGACCAAAGCTATGTCAGAACATTATAAGGAAATGTCTCTCTTTGGTGTCTATAAAGGGTAAAATGACATGTTTTTAGTTCATATTTGTGAACTTTGTGATAATGTGAGTTGCTTACTGAAAATATTTCAAAGTAGGATAACCAGCCACGCCATATTTCTGGCCGACATCCTTGTACTTGGTGGCATCTACAGCCACAAGCTTTGCAGCAGGGAATTCCTTTTTAAGTCTGCCTGCAGCAGCTGCATATGCGGGCTTCATCTTCTTGCAATGTCCACACCCTGAAATAAAAGACCATCATGTTCATGACCATCCAGCTTTGCTAGAAAAGTGGAGTAAGTTAGTTTAATTTTACACAACTGTGAACAGTATTTAAACTATATCACAATGTTTCTGCTTTGCGTTGGAGGAAAGTCCAAAGTGATGCAGGTTTCGGACCTTTACCAGTCTAGGTTTATGATGTAAATGTTGATGACAAACTAAGAAACGTAATCACAGTTAATCTGAGATTCAAACCCTTGGTCATAGGTTTCTAAGGGACACAACTCTGCAGATGGAATTGTGGTGCCCAAGACAACTGGACCACCTGTTTTCCTACTTTGAGTGAGTGAGTGAGTGAGTGAGTGAGTGAGTGAGTGAGTGAGTGAGTGAGTGAGAGAGTGAGAGAGAGAGAGAGAGAGAGAGAGAGAGAGATATTCCAGCAACATCACGACGGGGCCACCAGAAATGGGCTTCACAGATTGTACCCATGTCAGGAATGGAACCCGGGTTTTCGGTGTGATGAGGAAAACCCTTTTACCACTAGACTACCCGACCGCCCCTTGCTAGAATGAAGTCAGTGTGATCATTGTCAGTACCGTTCTTAATCCAAGAATCTCATATACCCTATTTGTTAAACTATAATACTCATAGAGGTACAGGCATTCTGAGATACTATTTACATTGAGCATAAACATTACTAAATTTTCAGTTACATTTGTCATAGAATAACCAAATGTTCAGTCAACAAACATCATTTTTTTCTTTAAAATTATCTACAACTATTCTTAAGCACAAACTAAATGAACAAGCATGAATTGTACAAAAGTAAGATTATGTGTGAATGACGAATTCTTCCTTGTGATCTGATGATTGATATGGCATGCATTATTTCAGGACATGTCTAGCTTATTAATCCAGCTACTTTTCACACACATACTATTCATGTTGTTTGCTCTTTAATCCCACAAACAGCAATATTCCAGCTATATTGGAATACCGTGGGTGTCACAGGGCTATATTGGAATATTGAGGGTGTCACAGGGCTATACTGGAATATTGAGGGTGTCACAGGGCTATATTGAATAATGAGGGTGTCACCTCGCTATATTGGAATATTGAGGGTGTCACAGGGCTATACTGGAATATTGAGGGTGTCACAGGGCTATATTGGGATATTGAGGATGTGACAGGTTTTTTTTTTAATATTGAAGGTGTCACAGGGTTATATTGGAATACTGGGGATGTCTTTTATCATACTCACAGGGTGCGTAAAACATGACTAATACAGATTTTTCTTTGGCCATAAAAGAATCAAATTCCTTGTCTGATGGGTGGTGAACATCATTTTTCTCATCACTCCATTCTGGTTCTGGGGGAGGGGGAGGGGGCGGCGCTGTAGGGCTGAAAGAGAACAAGGACACTGAGACAAACACATCACCATGTACCTGTAATTACCGATACTACATACTGTAAAACTAATTCATGAAGTGATAATGCCTTAAAATTTGTTCAGACATTTCTTAACAATTGTAAGATAGCGTATTTAAGAAATGGCTTAAACACATAATGCTAGCTTGTTTGAGAATTCTAACAAGAAAACAGCGTTTTCACTATCCCCTGCCATGGGGCACATTAGAATTTTGTTTGTTCATAAAGAAGTGAATATGAACTATAAAATAGAGTCCTATAAAGCCTTTCGGTTGCTTTATGAGGTATGAATGTAAAAATGTAAAAATGATTAAATGTGAAATTAATATACACAAAAGGCCCCTTCTCTGGAAAAAATAACTCAGTCTTGATAAGTATTTCTTAGATAAGCTAACTTCAGTTGTTTCATAGAAAACTTGCCCCATTGCAGACACTATGCACCAGGTAACATAACATGGATCAAGGGCCATAACTCTGTCAAAAGACAATTTATGGGACCAATTTCTGAACTCAGTCTCGACAAGTAACTTTTAGATAAGCATGCCAACTTTCATTCATGCAACTTCAGTAGTTTCTTAGAAATCTTGTCCCTATTTCACACAGTATGCACTAAGTTGAAAAGCATTGCGCAAGGGCCATAACTCTGTAAAAAATGAATTTACGACACCAATTTTCGAACTCATATGAGGTCATGACCAGTAAAATTAGTGTTTTAATTTTCAATAGTTTTTCAGAAAATGTGTCCCTGTTAAGAAGCAGACAGACAGACAAACTCCATCCCTATATCTCCCGGCCCACTTCGTGGCAGGGGATAATAAACAAATACATCAACAATAAGACCTACACTGACTGCATATTTATTCATTAACACAAACAAAAACGTGGAAAACAACACAAAATCATCAGTAACATTTTTAACACAATAAAAAAACACAAGCCCACCCATTCTATTGTCGGCCAAAGAGGAAACAGTAGCCTGGCCAATTCTTTTACGTTTATGAAAACAAACGGAAA